TTGTGGATACTTTTAAGCAAAATTTATATAAGACATATTTCTATTACCTAAAAGATCAAACCTTCAAAGGGGGTTCCGTGGAACCCTTTGAACCCCCCTGGATCCGCCACTGAAATAGAATCTTAGTTTATATCCTATTGTTATATAAAAATGACAAGCAATTTAGCTCTTTTTACGCATGAATTCAATCTTGTACTTAGTTGTGAGCAAGGCTGGACTGGAAAGAACAGAACTAAGTAAGGACAGTGGTTGAGTAAGGATTTCTTACTGGCAGCCATTCCGACAAAGGAAGATCTTTCCAGTCAACCTGGCGAGAGAACCCTTACATTGACGTCGGTACCGCGCATCATATAGTCTTACAGTAGACAGGGCAGAAAAACGACAAGCCCACTACTTTCACGATTTTTTTATTTAACTGAGTTTTTTAAGCTTTTCATTTGTGTCACTGCTGCTCGAAACTTGTGACGAAATTTTGTCGAATTCAAAGAGTAAATCGACCTAGTTTTTAAGAAAATCATCAGATTTTCTGCTGATCAAAATATCACCTCTCCCAAAGTTTGCTATTTGGCTCCAAAAGAACGTGTTTACAAAATATTGAGCTTAAATACGTAAAGCTGTCCTTATGGCGAAAGGCCAAAAACCGTCTTTCTACCCTGTCCTTACAGTATGTTAACTTAATTTTGTAGCTTAATTAATTTTGTAATTCTCTTTTAACTTTATAGAGACCTACTGGTAATTTTCTGACTGACACACTTCTTTCAAACTAACCAAAACATTTAAACAACCAAGGTTAAATCCCGGGGGGTACTCTTGCCCGTTTAGCCGTAGGGATGTGCTGCTGAGCCCCTTGAACCCTGACCCTGTTCCAGAGTAAAATCACTGAAATTCGTACCCTGTTCCAGAGCAAGATCGCTGAAAACCATACCCAGTTCCTGTATTGTGAAAATAGATACCCTGTTCCAGAGAGGAGAGAGCGTGATTTGTATACCCTGTCCAAGAGCGAGCGTAATTTTATATACCCTGTTCCAGAGTAGAATCGCTGAAAACCATACCCTGTTTGGCGGCACGTACCCGTATAGCGAATATAGGGCAGTACCCCCCCCCCCCCCGGGGAGTTAAATTTTGAGCTGCAAAAATAAACAGAATCTTATAGATTTTGTTACAGTGTTGTTCAGATACGCATTTATGACGACAATTAAGGTCGAGCAACGTAGTTTCCTTTTAGATTGGAGTATGAAGCATGATCTTCGTATAGTAAGAAATGTGATTTTTCGTATTATTAAAAGTACAAAAATTCTGTTTAGTCTAAGATCGCCCACTGATTTCAGATCTCCGACCGACAACTTTTTGTGAAATAGGCGTAGCCCTAAGTGAGGACCTACGTCAGACTCATACCCAGTCGCTTCTCTTCTTTTATTACTCTCACGCTGTGGTTGATGGGAAGGATTTAGTGAGTTCGCGGTGTATCTACGGGAAGGAAAAAAAGCCTTCGAGCGACGACTGGGTACGAGTCCGGACCTAAGAAGTGAGTATGGGACAAGGTTTTAAAAAATGGTCTAATAACAACCCAATTATATTGCTTAAGGTGACTGCCTACTTTTGGAAATTGATTTAAGCTTTTCTTAAAACTTCGATTTTCCGAATTGAAATTTAATGCTGATTCCAAATCTGGAAAGAAAAATAGGGTGTCCCGAGCTTGTTTTCGAGATAATCAGCATTTAATGGGAGCCTACGCACGAGCTTTTGGAGTAAAAATTGCGCCACCGGAATTGATTAGAAAAAAAATTAAGATTCATAAGATAATAGTTATTTGCAGACTATATGATTGCACGAACGAAGGCTAGTCAATCCTTCTACAATAATACATGGATAATTTCGACAAAAAGACAAAGAGATACATTGATTTGTCATTTGTAGTTTCGGTGCTCTTAAAAAATCTCATAAAGTCAAACAAAAATCCCTACAAAAATCTATTTTTTCATGTGTTACTGATTTAAACTTTTCCTAAAATATTGATATAACCTAGATTTTTAGGAGTTTTTTCGAATGAGCTATTTAAAAATAGAGTCCTGTGCAAAATTTGAGGGTTTTGCCCCGTTGAAGCTCAAAACGCGTATGGTTCTTCAATGAAATCTTGTAGATTTTTCAGAGGTTTTTTAAGGGGGGGGGGGGGGGGGGACAAATCGAACGTTCAAAAGTAGGCAGCCACCTTAAATGGTGGTTATCGCCCGACTAGATATCATGATATATGAGAGGTGTGCGGGTGCCCTTGTGGCTCTACGCATGCGCAAATACGGTTTTTTATTAGCCGTTCTAGACTCTAGAACTGAGTTGTGGAAAGGCGTTGCATTGTGTAGCATGCGAAATATAACCGTCTGCGTATCAGCGCCGTAATCCTTGTTTCCCTTTTTTTGAGGGGATATTGCGGGTGTTTTGAGGTATGTTTCATCAGTCAGTTGAAATTTTATGCTTCAGGAAACGATGTAAAAATAATAATAAACACGACAATTAAAGTTTCCCACATAACTTTTTCTTCATTTTTCACTATCAGTAAGTGAAAAAGACGCTACTTAAGGACGTTCGTGGGAAATAAAGTTGCAGTCAGAATTTTTTTTACTTGGCATAAACATACCCCAGCATATTCTTGTTCGAAAAATGAAATAAAAAATGTGGTTCACAGAACTCGTTTCATTGCTAAAAGCGGAGGAAATATGGTATTCATCGAGGACAAAACGCGTCAAAGATTTGAGTACTTACTCGCTCAAACGAAAATTTAAACA